AAAATAGGTTCTCATTGTTAGATGAAATAATAAACAATAAAGCCTATCAACTTATCGTTAAAAGAGCGCCTTTTGCAAATTATTTAAAACGCGAATGCGAGAATTTTGAAGGACATAAAATAATAAAAGCTACTATTTCAGCTGACGAAGAAAGTGTAACCCAATTCCTAAAAGAAAATGCGTGCAAAAACACTTTATACATTTATTTCTTATCTCAAGAATTACGACCAATATTTCAGAATGTATGGCGTAAATATTTTACAAAATTAAAATTAATTGAATGTACAAAATTAGTTAATAATGTATTACCAGAAGAAAGAAATCAACTAATAAAATATAAGCACAACGGAAAAACAAATCATCGAGGAATTTCAGAGACTCTTAGAGCTTTAAAACTAAATTACTACTGGAAATCAATGAAAAAGGACATAGAAAAATATATAAATGAATGTGAAATATGCCAGAGATCCAAATATAATAGAAATCCACATAAAGAACCTTTAATATTAACCCACACACCCTCCAAGCCTTTTGAGATAATACATATAGATACTTATAAAGTTGGCAATCAAAGATTTTTAACAATTATAGATAAATTTTCAAAATATGGCCAAGCATTACCATATTTTGGCACAGCTATATCAGCATGTCAACAATTAGTACATTTCTTTTCATTTTTTCGGAATACCGAAGCAAATTGTTGCAGACAGTGGTGGAGAATTCAAAAATGACGTTGTAGATGAATTACTGAAGACCCATCAAATAAAAATACATTTTACTACTCCATATCATCACGAATCCAATTCCCCAGTAGAAAGATTCCATTCTACTTTAACTGAGCACTTAAGAATACTAAAAGAAAAAGATAAAGATGCAGATAATATTTCTATTATGCCTTATGCTCTTATTGCCTATAATAGTACTATACATTCAGCAACTGGCCATACACCTTTCGAATTAGTATCGGGACATACAGACAGTAAAGATCCCATGAGACTTATTCCAGCACAAGCTTATACTCAATATGTTAATGCACATCAAAATAATACTCAAGCTCTATATACAAGTATACAAGAAGAAAATCAGAAACTGAAAGAAAACGTAATTGGAAAAAGAAATAAAGATAGGAACTCAAAGGATCCTCGTTTAGGATCACAAGTTTATAGAAAAACAGAAACTCGCGGAGGAAAATTAAGTAGAAAATATACAGGACCATATATACTTACACAAATATTAGAAAATGGGAAAATAGAAATTGAAAATCCCAAGAATAAAAAGAAGATAATAGTCCACATAAACGAAACTAAAATTTTGCCTAATATTTCAGATTCATCGTCGGAATCTTCGGAGCAGTTAACTATATCAATGCAAGAGACAACTTAATCAAGTTTGAAGATGTAACTTCATATCCAGGACTCCTACCTTTCAGATTAGGTACCTCTAAAATAATTTCTACACACTGGACATTTATACAAATTTACAATTTAACTTCTGTCATACAAGAATTTTATTTATTGAAAAATGAAGCTCAAAGACTACACACAAGTTTTAAAAATCAGACAAGTTATTATTCAGAATTAGAAAACTCATTTATCCCTCTAATTACATTACAAAATAAAATAGAAGAGCAGATATATCAAATTAATCCGCCTTTGTATAAGGAAGAAAAGAGAACAAAAAGAGGACTTCTAAATCCTCTAGGAACAATAATAAAATGTATTACAGGAAATATGGACCAAGAAGACGCACAAAGAATAGAGAACGAAATAAAACAATTAAAAGATAATCAAAATAACTTAAAAGTAAATTCCCTAAGACAAATATCTTTATTGCAAGATTCTATAAATACTTTTAATAATGCTATCAATAATATTTCACATAATCAATTGATTTTAAAATCAAAAATTGAAGCTATAGAGAATAAATTAGCTTTATTTGAAAAAAGTATGTATACACATATTCAGTCATTTATAGTAATAAATCAAATTACTTTACTTTATCAAACAATTTATGAATATCTTTGAGAAAGTAGAAACTGCAATCTCATTTGCTAAAATAAATACCTTGCACAATTCTATAGTAAATCCAATTGAACTTTTAAATGAAATTAAGAAAGCAAAATCTCAGACAAATCAAAATTAATGCCTTTTGATACTACACTAGGAAAAATAATTCAGTACGAGAAAATAATAAATATTAAGAGCTATTCAGTAAATTCTATAATAACATTTGTATTAGAGATTCCATTAGTTGAATCGGAAATATATGATTATTACCAACTATTCCCTATTCCTATTCCTATGAACAACTCAAATTATCTTATTCATTTACCTTACAAACCTTTCCTTGCACTTAATGAATTTAGCTATATCTATATGGAAGATATATGCACAGAAATAGACTCAGAAGAGTACATATGTAAAGGAAGTAATAAACTAACCATAACCGAAGAAGCCCCTTGTGCAGTCCAATTAATAAATTTTAAGAAGAAGGCATTATCATGTGAACATTTTGAAGTAAAGATAAAGAAGATAGAATCCACAAGAATTAGCGACGGAAAATGGATAGTTACAGTTCCAGAAGAAGAATTAGCAATTATCGAATGCCCAAATTCAAAAGAAAATTTACCAATACATGGAAGCTATGTTTTAGAATCAGTTCCCGATTGTACCGTGAAAATCAAGAATGAAGTCTTCCAAACAGAAAAATTTAGTAAAACTCATTTTGCTCATATAAATCTTCCAAAAGTTATTCCTTCTATTAATATTTTTCAAAATGAAAGTTCAAATTTTTCACCAATAAATCTTAATACAATTAACCTTAGAAAAACTAAAGATATTTTAGAAAAGTTAGAAACACAAAAATATAATTTGAAAGATAATAATTCAATTTATTTTAAACAAACAAGTTTTTGGACAATCTGTATATATATAATAATTTTCATTTTAATCTTATATTACTTAACTAAATATTGTAAAAATGTGCGTCAAAGAAAACAAGAAGAAAGAAGAAAAAAAGAAACCCCGGAATTAATTTTGTAAAGAAGCACATCCCAAGGATATCCTTCTTTCTAAGGGTGGAGGAGTTACGTCCCTGGACTATCCAATGTGTGACGACATATAGAAAGACTATATATACCAGTGTTTAATTAGATTAAGAGCTTTTTGTTTTGTAGTTGTTACCATACCTGTACGTTCTCAAAAATAAATTTTGTTACGAAAATAAAATTTTTTAAAAATCCGTTTTCGGTTTTGACATTCGTAACTGTAGATTATGTAGGTGTATCTTTTTAAACTATTTTGATGCTTTATCGCATTCGTTAGTAAGATCTTTTTTACGTTTCCTGTACAAACAATTATGAAACATTTCAAAAATGAAAATAACAAATTATGCTCAGTTTTAACATTTTATATATCTAACGGCCAGTCCCTGGTTACGTCCACAGATGGACTCTTCCGCTGTGATTATAAAATATGAAAACGTCTTTTTATCGCACTGTCGATCATTGTTTTTTAAGAAGCCTTAGGGCTTCCATAGTGTTGTAAAATCCAGTAAAATTTTAACTTCGATTTAACATTATTGTAATGTATTCTATCTGGGTAATAATTTTTTAAAGGTCAGTTAAAAGTGTTATTTTACCCAGTGTTAGGTGTTTTCCTGAATTTTGTCAGTTAATATTACTAATATGTTAATTGTGTCTTAAGACTTGAAATACTCAACTCCAACTGCCAAATAAAGAATAAAAAAAATCATCGGAATCGTAATCGGAATTTTAATCGGAAGCAACAAATAAAAATATCTCTAATATCATTTGCGAGAAACCAATAAATTTTATAATTAAAATAATTCTTAAAATATAATGATTCAGATCGTTTATTTTTATGACTAATGTATAAGATATTTATTTGATACGGAACAGCTCCACAAACAAGAATGGTTTTTGTTATAATTAGGTAGAATGCGATAGAAAATCCCGTTAGAAAAACCTAATTGTAATATTCGTAGGTTGGTGATAGGAAATATGTGACCTTGTGTAATAAACGTATATATATAATGCGTACAAACATGTCATAAAGGGTAGTGAATCGCCAAACAAGGCATATAGGAAATTCAATGTGAAATTCTGAATTGTTGAATTCCTGCTTCCCTAATTATTATACAACAAAAGTCATAAGAAACTATTTGTAGGGGACTGAAATATGTATTAAAAACAAATGTAAAAATTGTTCTACGAATTAAATGTGTGCCAAAATTTTGTAAAAATATAATACAGTTTTCAAGCATCCCTTAAATTCAGGCCACACGAGGTACAAGGATGTGTATGACATGTTGCGTTTAATATAATTGTTTGAAGTAGATACGTGTAGATCATCGAGCAAAAAGACAAAAGAGGGAATGTACTTAAAGGTAGTGGAGGCAAAAATATTGTTAGACAGGAAGTGCCATCTTGAGAGGCCACATTAAACAAGGAAAGAGAGTCTTTCCTTGTTTAAGAAATCAAATTTAGTTGGGTTATGTTATTTTTTGTCTCAACCGTCACATGAAATCTTATTTATAATGAAGTTTATTATTAACAATTATTTCGCATTTTAGACTTTTGTCGTTTATATTTATTTAAAGTTTCTCGTCTAAGACACATTCTGAAAACTATTTTATAGCTACTGTTAATAAGTGTCGAAAAATTTTAATTTGGCGCATTCGCATTTCCGAATATGTCCGCCATCAGAGGCTACTTTTTTGGTCCTCTTTTCATAATGATTAGATTCCCTGTTTTGTCTTTTTGCTCGATGATGTAGATACATGTTGTACGTAAAAAAACTACTACTACTACTACCTACTACTTTTTTTTACTACATGTCACGCGATCCCACTACTTAGGGAATTTTTATGAAAATTTCTTCTTTTTCTCACACACCGAAAATTGATATTTGACATTGACAGATTTGAAGCAGTCCTGACAGATTTGATATTTTTAAAAAATTGTGGTTAAGTTTAATGAATATGAATGTTATTTTCCTTTAAAAACAAACATTAGAATAATGGAAAATATTAATGAAGATGATAATTCATTGATTCCCGATGATAAGAATGAACAAGTTAAACCTGAAACAGTTTTTAAAAAACCTATTTTATTTGGCAAAATCGGTCGTTTGCCAAAAAAATTACCTGCCCCAATATCTCAAAATTTTGAAAGTACATTAGAAACTAACAATATTGAAAGTAAAGTTGATAAACCTGATGACAAATTAATAGAGAGACAAGTAGTAGCGAAGAAGGGTATGTGATTACATATTTAATATATTAAGTACATTAAATTATGTTATAAAAAGTAGATACATCTGTATATATTAAAAGCATAGTGGTGGTGGCTTTTCAAAATAAGACATATTTTAAGTGGAAATTACATAAAAGAACGTTTTCCACCCAATAAAAATCATTGTACAATAATTACTAAATAAAGCAAAATTCATTAATATAAATTTTCTATGCTTCACTGTCCCTGGTATCAAGTTGAACATATAGATTTGTATATGTTTCTGCTTTAGCTTTTGCTATGTGTGCTTCCTTTTTGGTGACCTTATAGTTTTAGACTGTTTACATAGTTTTCTCTTTCTTCTTTTATCTAGTTTTCAGTTCTTTATTTTTTCTTGACCTTATCACGTCATTATTCTCAATTTTCTTTCCTGGGGTTTTTGCAAGTATTTCAATAGCAGTATATATTAATAATACTAGTTATATTCCTCCAAATTGCATTTGAACTACCTTTTATGTGCCAGTAAATTTTTTCTACTATTTTTGCCCCGAATAGACCTTTTTTTATCATATTTTAATATCCACAACTATCAACAATATCTACAAAAAAATGGTTCATTATTGCGTACTTATCTTTCTCTGGCATATTCATAACACTCCTTTTCACAAATATCACTTCAAATTTAAAAATAAAATATTGCAAATTGTACAAGAAGTGTAGTAAAATCTCACAATTAAATGCAGCCAAAACATGTAACCAAGAGTGTGCTGTTAAATTTGTTTGATAAGGCTATTTGGGGTGAGGGTGATGTTGCATGAAGTCACATACAGCTACCTGGTTTAGTATCAAGAATTGTTCCTAAATGCTAGTTTTTGAAATCTCCATTTTATCTAAAAAACCACCCTGTGTGACAGTGTAAAAAGTATTTGACCAGAGAGGACTAGTGAGACCACATACTAGAGGTAGACCAAAATTGGTACCTGGACAACTTGAAAAGACTTAAAATCCATTGAAGTTAAAGGATGGAGAAGAGTTACTAGAAATAGGACAGAATGGGGAAATATTCTAAAGAAGTTTTTGGTTCATGTTAGTGCCAATGATAATCATGATAACATTCATATTTCATAATATGCTGTACTGACTAGTAGTGGTGTAGATTTTTTGGTTACTTATTTTATCAAATATACTTACTTGTGGTATATAAATAGGACTTGTCATTTTCAAGACCAATATAAGACATTTTAAATATAGAATTCATGTTTATAAAAACAATTAAATATTCATTTTTCAGTTGCCCCTGAACCAGCTCCTGCCCAGGAATTAAAAGAAAAATCACTTCCCTTGCCATACAAAGAACCTATTTGGTCTGGATTACCCAGTAGTAATGGAAAAGACTATTCATTTGATGTTTTAAAAAATGGAGTTATAATAGAAACTGTTAATCTAATGGAAAAACCATTTTGGGTTTTTGGGAGATTTGTCAACTGTGATATTATTATGCAGCATCCAACAATATCACGGTAATAATATATTTTAAGTAGTAGTGGTAGATATTTTTATAGGTCCCACTATTTGAGAGAGATTTAAAATACTTACAGGCTGTAACGTTCACTGCTGAACTGCTATGTTATGAGTTTAGTCCAACTAGAGTCATTCATCTCGACTGTATCCTGCCCACTTCTACTTTCTATGTGTTATATTTTCGATAGCATATGTAACCCCTGTTCTGTCTCTTATGACATTTGGAACATTATATCTTAGTTTTAATCCCAAATTTACCTTTCCATTTGTTACTGAGTGACGCTCAGACACTGATTTTTCCCAAAGATTGTTTAGTAACTGGTATAGTTTCTGCACTATAAGTCAATACTGAGAATACACATGTAGCAGAGGAAAATGAGAAAAAATTAAGTGATTTTTAGAGTTCTATAATATATAGCCTCTATAAGTTAAAACCATTGTATGTTATCAAAAAACTGAAAAAAAAAATCAGTTAGTTCATTGAAAAATATTTAAAATGAATTGTGGTGAAATTTTATCTTTTATATTGTAGATTAAAATATCTCAATGCACATTGTTATTTCTTATATACCATCATGCATTTGTTATTAGTCTTTTAATACTTTATTCTCGATTTTTCTTTTGGATGATATTTCTATACAATTCACAATGTTCTTGAGCCATGACATCTTCCAATTCCTATGCGGCCCTTGATTTTAGCTTTAACGATAAGCTTAAGGATTCTGTACCAGTCTTCTCGAAAAGTATGCCCTAGGTATTAAATCTTTTTTATTATAATAGTTTTAATAACTCAGGAGCTGCATTTCATATCAGCCTTCAGAGTCCAGGTCTCGGTACTATGTAATAACCCTGACCAAATATAGCATTTGGTCATTCTTTGACATACTTTTATGTTTAAACTGTGGTCACAGAATATAGATTTCATTTTTAGAAACATTGTATGAAATGTATTTCACCAGTAGTATATACATCATTAAAAGCTTAACTAGAGCACTCTTGTATCATGCCCCCAGCTGGGATGTTGTCTGGTTCAGTTGCTTTCTTGATTTTTACTAATTGTATTGCATGAAGAAATTCAGATTTTAAAATTTCAGATCCTTAATTTACATTGCTCTGTATGTTTGGCCTTTCATCTTGAAACAATTGTTATATAGTTACTCTATGTTTCAAATATTTCTCGTATGTCAATGATAACTTTTCCTGTATTATCTACTGGAGTATAAGTGTTTTTCTTATTACATACACATGTCATGTTTCTTTTCTAATTCTTCCATTTCTGAACATCTATCCTTCATCCACTTTTCTTTAGCCGCTCATATTTTTTTTGATTTCTCTTTGTTTTTTTTCTGTGTTCATTTGCCTTGTCCTTGTATTGCATTTTTTTGTTCCATTTGATCTATTATTGCTTCCGCCATCCATTGAATCTATTAGTTACACTAGGTTCTTCTATTATCTTGTTCATATGTTCACAATATTTTTGGTTGATCTCATTTCTTTCATGTATTTGTTTACATCATTTTCTATTTTAACTTTGTTGATATCTGAGAGAGTAATATTCTTTTGCTGGTGTTTTTTCTCTATTCGTTTTAGCCTGATTCTAGTATCAGCGACTAAAAGGTTGTGATCAGATCCAATATCTATTCCAGGGTATGGCATAACTCTACTAATGAAGTTCGTAAATTTTTGTAGATAAGGATGGAAGAAAGAGGCAGGTATGTAAAAAAATAATTTAATTGGAGTTACTATCCTTCTGTCCATGGGTTTTTCAGCCACTCAGATTCTTTCAATACTGGCATCTGGAGAGCAGACAAATGGGATTTCTGAATTATTAAACCACTTGCATTAACTCTGTCTTCGTCGAGCCAATTGGCTCCTCATGTGATGTTTCATTGTAGCATACAATGCAGATAAGCTTATTTGCCCTTTTGGCAGCAAGCTGTCGGATGCACTATTGTGGGATGTGAAATAGATCCTACTGGTTGCACATATTCTGTTCTTGAGGTCACATTGGACAAAAGAAATCATAGGACACCTGCTTAAATTCTTTCAGTGGAGGCTACAGATCAACAAACAATCTCACAAGAAGTGGTAAAAAATTGCATGATTGCAGATTTCAATACACTCCTAGGGCGGCAACAGCATCGTAGGTTCGCGCATTTAATCACTTGAACTACTATTGATGAAAATACAGTATGAATTCAGGGCTAAAGTCTAGAGAATATTTCAAATGAAGTTATCTACAAAAAAAAATCAGTAAAACACAAATTTGCGTTTGCAGTATTGCCATGTCCTTATTATGTATTTGTTTTATTATATTATTTTATGAAATCTGGCCTTTTTTAATAATTTTTTAATTAATAAAACACGAACGAATGAATATTTGTTTCTTTCGATATTAGTTGCAGTTAGTTATTAGAAAAAATTTTTGCAATTGCCTTTTGATAGATTAGTTTATAAATTTGGCATAAGTGTCAGAACCTTCAAAACTTTAGCTACTAGATTGCAATAGATGTTTAGCAGATATCAATTTTATAAACATCATATTTGCAGTCAAAAATACAGTTTTTCAAATTTACAGTGCAGATATTAAACTGTCATTATTGACAATTTAATCCATAAAATGTGAATTTGTAAATCTTATATTTATTTTCGTTGCAGCTGCCGTTCAGTTGGTTGAAACGTTACACCGAATAATTTTGTGAAGGATTGTGGCTTATTTTCATATAGATAATAACAAAGTAAAAATATATATTATTAAAATCTTTACAGCAGAATTTAACTTATTATTTACTTTCTAACGTTAGTGAAATAAAATATATATTATTTTTTTCGCTATTTCATCATTTTTTGTTTTTTATGTCTTATTATATACCCATGTTAAAATAAATTGGGTTTTCATGTAATGGACATAACCTTAGCATCTGAATTGTGTTTGGGCATCACAGTGTTGCCATAATGCCATATCTTTTTGCATAAAGTATAGGAGTTTTTAAAATATAAAGATACTTTGTCGAAATTATAATGTTTTGTTATGAGAAGCCACAATTTTTGAATTTATATTAAAAACCATTTATAAAATATTACTTTTTACTTTAGGGATAAAGACTTATTTTGTAGAATTCTTTTTTTTTTTTAAATGCAAGATATAATTTTATTTTATAATATTTATATGTGTAATTTTAATGCTTTTAATTATATACGTATTTTTCACGTTTTTGTTTGTTTTAAATTTTCAATTCATATAATTATATTGTGCTCTTGCCCATAATTTCAGATGCGCGAGTATGAAATAATTGACCATATGGCAACACTGACGTATATTAAGCTTACATTTAATGTCAAATATATCTATAGGTTATGTTCATTGCATGAAACCCCTGCTCTTTCCTGATTTATTGTAAAGACATGGCAACACTGTCAAATACAAAACTTCCTTCATTTGTATCTACCTTCATTCGGAACGTTTTCTAGATTTTAGCCGAATTCAGTTTAACAACATTGACTACAGCAACGTGTTTCTGTGTATTGGGTAACAAAAACAAAATAAAAAAGACGTACAATACAGTCGAAAGATTTCCTGTAAAACATAAACAAATGGAACAAAATAACAATATTGTACAATCAAAGTGAGGGATTTCCCATAAAACATATCGAAAAGGACTGCCAATTTGTGAGATTTCAATTCCATAGTCTTTTATTTAAGTAAAAACCAATGTTAGGTACCGCGTTGTTTGAACCCCCCCTCTCCATCATCTAACGCACCGTAACGTTTTACAAGACTCACTCTCCCCCCAAATTGCGTTACGTAATATTATTATACATAATACCTTATGAAAATAAAAACAATCACCAAGTTATTAAATATTATATTTAAAGCATTTAAAAGTATAAAATAGTAAATAAATACATTTTAATTTTAGTTACCATGCCGTTCTTCAGTACAGGAAAGAAGGTTCGGAAACAGATGTTCCTGGATTTTACATCTACGATTTAGGTAGTACACATGGCACTTTTCTTAACAAAAATCGACTAAAGCCTAAAATCTTTGTCAGAATTCAGGTACTTATTTATTCACCTAAAATATATATGCAGATTATAACATTTCTTTTAATTTAACGATAAAAATATTAAATACGTTAGTATAAAATACAATGCACGAAAGTATTCGCTCCGAGGAGCCGAACAAGTATTGCCCTCTATTGGTTATTATATAATCACCATAAGGTTTACACCATTGAAAGCATTTAGAAATCTGCAGTAATAAAATCAAAAATTTGTAATTAATTGTAAATACACACGGCTGTGTGTATATTAATTATTTATATATAAATAACGTAGTATTTATGCATTACAAATAGATTTGTTGACAGTTTGTATGTCAACAAAAATTTGTATATTTTTACAAACATATAAGTTGGATTTATATATTATAAAGATTTTACTAGCTTATTATGTATATTTTCTGAACAATAATACAATGCTAGTCAAAAGTCCGTTCCTTCCCTCTATCTTTTGATTGCTTATTGTTATAAAAGTGAAATTTGGAGGGAGGTAATAAACAGACGGAGATTTCTCAACTAGTCATAACAGATGACGTTACAGCGCCACTGTGACAAATAATTTTAAATGGGATCTTATGGCAAGTGATACCTCGTTTGAAAGGTATTGAAAATGCCTATTCAGTCATAACAATTTTGTTTGAGTTTAAGCTCATTTTGATGAAGAAAATAAATACTAAAATTGTAGCTTCTCATTTAATTAATAAATATTTAACATCCAGTTCCTACAGTAAGTGTTCAAAATGTGCTTCATCTACTTCCTGACAGTAATGCATCCTATTTCTGAACTTTTGCCGTACTCGTTCAAATGTATCGAGGGAAATAGCCCTACAGTCTTCAACAATTCGTTGTTTCTAAATTTCAATATTGTCGGGTGCTGTAGCGTAGACTTTAGATTTCGAGTATACCCAGAGAAAAAAATCTAATGGTGTGAGGTCCTGTGACCGAGCTGGCCATTCTATTGTATCTCATCGTCCACTCTATCTACCACGATATTTCTTATCTAGGTAACGTCTTACTGCTACTACGTCTTACTAATTATCTATGGTGTGCAGGAGCACCATCTTGTTGAAACGTTATTTCCAAGTTGCCAAATTCATCTGGATTATCCTTCAGAATTTAAAGTATTAACGGTTCAATTGCATTTTGTAACATCTCCAGATAAACTTCACCGGTTAAGTTAGTATTGAGAAAAACAGGCCCAACTATATGGTTTCTCAAGATACCTGTCAAACCTTTATTTTTTTGGAAATCGAGTATGTGTGAAAGACCTGAGGATTTTTGTCACTCCAATACCCCACTCATATTGTGTGTGTTATCATTTCCATTGAGAGAAATGTATTAATGGGATATCCTGTGTTTTACTTTGGGTGGTGATAGGTTAGACCATCTAATCGAGCTTTTCTCCCTATGACTCATTGAATTTATTATTTGACTTGACTTTGTGTCCCAAAAGTGTGTTCTGGACAGATGTCCGGATTTTTGTGTGCTCGGTCACTCAGCCGCCGAATCGGCAAAATAAATTTTATTCTACTCGCCGATTGAGTGCCCGAAAGGTCTGGCCATCGAACTCACGCTTGTCGCACGTGAACTCGATGCTCAGATTTTGTGACTGTTGGTCGTTTGATCGGTCTGAGGGACGTCTTTATGTTTGTGCCTCAGAATTCACTTAATGTAGTTGCCTCGTTGGCATAACTGAGTGAAGATTAAGATGAAATAATAATAGAAAGAAAATAGCATGAGTGGGGTGGGGACTCCCAGGAATATACGGCCATTACACACCCCGTGTATATATTTTTTGGTTTTTATCTTTTGCAGTAGAACTGGTTAGTGAAATAATACATAACTAAATAAAAGAAATAATATAATATAAGGATTTTTTCTGTTGTTGCGTACGTTAGACTATCACATGGATATCTCATTCTTTATTAATCTTCTGGGTCATCTATATATCCTGCTAGCTGCTGCCTGGACCGTCTATGTATTGTCCTTATGTTTTCGTCATAACTCTCTTAACAGTCTGCTGGGGTGGTTCCTGAGATTGTTGAATATCTCGTATGCTCTTTTGTTCATTGTGCTCAGGATTCTCTTTTGTTGTGAATCCCTAGATACGTACCTTAATGAAACGTACTTAAATATATTTACACTTACACTACTGTACACTTTTTCTGTTGGTTTTACACGTATGTCCCCATGCTGCTGAGTCGTATGTTAGTGTTGGCAAAATTATGCAGTTTGCAATCCTACTCTTTGTTTTACCGGATGTATCGATAGACATAAAAGTAGACCAATAAGGACATCAATGTTAACTGTACAACTATTGTGAATATAAAAAAAACGAGTTATTAAAGGATATTTTCCTGTGGCATTTACGTCAAGTATATCACATTTGAAGCTATTTACTTAAACCTTAAGAAGTCGATTATGAATCTGTGAATTAAAATTTTTGAATTTTAATAGTGTAAAAAAAGTTATCCATACCCAGAAAGTTATTAGAGCTGTAAGTACCATTTTCAATGTCTTGCAATGAGCTAACGATTCTGTCAAAAGCTTTTTCGTAACTGTCAGCTTGATTGCGTTTTTCTTCTTCTTGAGTTGCAGCTCTGGTCTGCAAGTCCTCAATTTTCTTACGAATGTCTTCTATATAAGTCTTCATTGCATCTTGTGACTCAAATTGGCTATTTTCAGCGGCTGTCACAGGATCTAGATTTCTGTGTAAATCAATAATATGTTTCTGATAGGAAAATTTTATGTTCTCAATGTTGTTTTTGATTCTTTGGAGATATTCAGAACTTGAATTCAACTTTTGTTTTAAATCCTGAAAATAATTTATTTTTGTTCATCTATAATTGGGACAACAAATTGTCAAGGAAAAACAAGAATATAACAAAGGATGAAACTGACGCAAAAGAAATAACTTCTCGGCAGATACTGATAAGCTGCTTGAAAGTGTGGTTAAATATTACCAAATAGATAAATTGGTCATCAAACGAGATAGTGGTTGATAATGCCATGGAAATAGCTCCAATTATTAAAATGTTAACATTCGACTCTTTCAGTACAGAATTTTCCTCCGACGATGAAGAAAATTAATTATTAGAAAATTATTTTCAATTATCACTGTTTTACACGTGATACTCATGATACTACTTTTTAAACTGTGTAATAATTATTTGAACTATACCGATACGCCACTGGAAATACTTATCAGAAATAGTAAACCAATAGAAAAATTTTAGGGCGTAAACATAATCAAATACTATAGACTATAATACATACAACTCTTGACATTTCCCATTAATTTTGTTGCAGCAAACAAAATAGCGCCATCTCATGGTATGAGTTGATAACTACAAACTTACGCATTTAACAGCCTGTTATTTAATAAGTGTAATTTATTAGTTTATTTATAGATTAAATCAAAATACAAATTTAATTATGAGTTATTTTCTTTAATTTGATATTTTTACATTTTAATTTATATAATTTTTCCTTATTACTGTTGTTAATTTTATTTACATAAGCTTTTATTAACACATTAAAATATTTATCTATAAAAGTCTTGTAACAATTTGTACATACATTTTGGAGAGTTTCTTGAAAGTCACATTTTAATTTCAATTTATATTTAACATTTTCAACGCTTTCTTTTATATAATTTTGAAAATACCTTTTAAATATTTCATTAATTTTATCTGAAGCTGCCTTGGCTTTATCATTTGGAAATTTAAAATTAGATGATTTCTCATATTTTTTTAACTCTATTAAGGTATTTTCTAAAGAATAATTATTAAAAGAGTTACATACTGCATTTCTACATTGTTCGTGAGGCAATTGACTGCAAACCCATCCTAACACATAAGTCTCAGAATTTTTTTCGATCATATCGTAATTGTCATTATTTATGTCGTTTTCGGTGCAATGCTCGATAGGATTATTAAGCAATACTTTAATTGGATTTTTGAGCATTTCATCTTTTTGAATTAAAAATGAACAAGCATCAATGTCGCTGTTGCTGTCCGCTGATGGTTGCAGTAACTGATTTGCCATGACAGATCGCAAGTTGCACCTAAATTTCACACTGTCAGGTGTATTATTATTAAAACCCTTAGCCCTAATAATAGAAAATAAATTTTCTATACAGTCTTGGGTTAGCCTTCTTGTAAAAAGAAATTGAAACCCATAATTGCTCTTTAAATCATTCCAAAGCAACTTCAGAGAATTAATATTTGATATCCATCCATTGATACATGTTGGATTAACTCTTCTTCTGTTCAATACTCTGATGTTACTTAGAAATTCTTTTAAATCATCCAATTTATCAATATGATGATTTTTTATTGAAATTGGCTTTCTGAATTTCTTGTCATTATATTTTGAGGATTGAAAATATCAAATAAAGTGTCCACTTTCTCAATAAAGTTAGCTGTGTATGCTGCACTCGCTGGTAATTTATTTAATGTAACATGACATAGCATCCCTACGTGTACTGCATGACTTAAAACCTTTGTAGCTAAACATACTCTCATCGGGGTGAATGGGGGCAAAGTAATACACTTTTTAGTTAATTTTGGTGCCATCCTAGGTATTTGCTGGGAATCGGCATTATAAAAGTCTACAATATGAGACCATGAATAAATTTCATTTTTATATTGAAAATCATATTTTTTTAAATTGTTGCGGATACATTTCAATAGATGTGGTGGATCAAAAAAAAAGTAAATTTTTTCTTCATTCATTGTAATGTATGGATCAGTAACAGTAACAGTAACAGTCAATAATTTCCTTAATTTTACATTATTAGATCCTAGATCGCAAACTATAGCTTTAACGATAAAACCAGTTTCTTGCAGTTTTTTAATGGTTTCTAAAAATAAAGTTTTGAAAACATTTGCTGATATGCACTCCTTACTTAAAAAATATCCCACTACTTGTTTGAAATCTAGGTATAAACCTTTAATCATTATAACCATTGCGTGGTTGCATGCTTTCAAAGAATTA